AAGCAGAAAAGGAAGCTGATTCATAAGCAGTGAGGAGGAAAAAAAAAACAGGGATTGTCACCTTCAGCTCCTGTCATACCATTAATGGTGAAATAGATACCAATGGTTCATACCTGTAATTTGTCAGAACTGTTCTTGCTCTTTCAAATATCGGCTCCAAAAGCAAGAAAAAAAAAGAAAGAAAGAAAGAAAGAAAAAAAAAAAGAAAACAACAAAAGACTGAAGGTGTTTATGCACAGTTCTGCATACCAGGGGCCTGATCCCGTAAAATATGCCACGAGCTTTCCCTTTCAGTTGACTTCCTGGCGTGTGGGAGGCACCTGTTCTGTGTTCCTACTCCCTGGAAAGGAACAGCAGCCTTATCACCCAGCTCACCAAGGAGAGGATCGAGCACTGGCTGCAAAGGCTGTGGCACCCCTGCAAGATAAGGCTGTGGCACCAGGGGAGTCAAGCAGTGCACAATTTTCCCTGTCTCCTGTACAGCGAGAAAAATCCCAATCCTGGGCTTAAAGCTCCAGCAGAAAATTTCTCATCACTTTCAGCTCCTTTGCTTCAGGAAAAACTGCAAGATCTCACCTTAATTCTGCACTTCTCCATTACCACAGGTTACAGGTTCTCTAGAGATTCACAGATCCAGTAATTTTAAAGCCAGAACACATCACAGGGATTATGTATTTGATAAACCCACACAGTAACTCCTCCTTCAGCTCTGTGAGTGGAATTTGTGGCAGAACATACTTTTTTAAGTTTTAACCTCATGTAACCTTAAAGACACAGCTCTAAATGAAACAGAAGGGATTAATGAAACTTGCAGTTGACAAGTTCACTTTGTGGTTTGCCTAAATGTGGTACCTACTACCTCTACTATCCTAAATCTCCCTGAATTTCTCATTCATGTCAAACCTGGGAGTGTCTTTGGGCTAACTGTGATGAATTTACCAGGTCTTCCAGCCTAAAATTTGAGTCCCAGGTACATGATCATTTTTGTAGCTGTTTTTTGACTCCCTTCCCATCTTGCCTAACAAAGAAATGTGAGTGGATTTTCACACTCCTTGTACAAACACAGTTTTTCTAATTATTGCTCTGAAGAAGTTCAGACTAAGGAATGAGAAAAGCTAAAGAAGAAACTGCATAAAACAGAAAGGAGTGATCAATGTAAAATATGTTAATCGATCAACAAGAATTCATTAGTTAATGCTGTTAACTGTTGTGCCTGCATGAAATCTCCCTGCCAAAAATAGTTTTATTACAGGGTATATTTCACCTGCTCAGTACTTATGTTCTCTAAGGTGACTGTTAATTATAAAGCTGCTATCACACAGTTTTTGGGTTGAAAACCACCTGTACAATTAAAATACTCCTTGAAGACACATGGGTTATGAGCAGCAGACCCTGTGGTATCCAAATCTTTTTCTAGTCTTCCATCCAAAACCAGAGGAAATAAAAGGTTATTTTTATCATGTTGTTCCTGTTGAATGCAGGAATTATACAATTTACCTTTGAACAGCTAAAAATCAGATATATCAAAAAACAAAAAACAAACTACCAGGATAGACTGTTTCCAGTGATTGATGCTGGAATAATTTTATTTCAAATCTATTGCACATTTTCATATTCATGGTGTTTGTTTGCTTTCAGGGCTTTCCTCAGCTTGGACAGTGGAAACACGTTCATCTGTTTCTTTCTTGGCTTCCAGTCGGTTTCACTTTCAGATTCTCATGTTTCACACTCCAGCCTTCAGGTTTCAAGCACTGCGAGGGTTACTTATTTCATTTAAACAAACAAAAAACCTGCGGCCGCAGGGCGCACACACACAATGTGTCTATTGGTCTGCAAAGCTTGAGCGCATCCTGCCCACTGAAGCATCTTCACGATTTTTCTCTGGGATTTGCAGAGAGAAGAGATTAAATAAATAGGAGTGATGATGAAAAAGGGATCTATTCAAAAAAAAAGAAAAAAAAATAACAAACAAGAGTTTTGCAGCGCTCTCAGACTGACCTCAAAAAAACATCATTACCTATCACCGATTGCATGATTAATGTCGGATTAATGATGAGGAGCCGCGGCACCGGACTTGATGCCCTGAAGGAGTGTCCCAAGACCTAAATAGTGACGGCTGCATTGCCACTCGGCGGCTGCGGTGGGGTTTGGGAGCAGGACAGCCCCTTTCTCACGGGGCCGCGGGGGTGGGAAGGCGGTGGGGCCTGTCCCGGGAAGCGGATTTCCCAGGAGTGCGGTTCTTCCGCGGGAGCGCCCGCCCGGGGCTGCGCACACTCCGGGGATGCTTAATTTAATCATTTATGCTTTAAAATGGTTGAAACAGCTGAGCAAAAGCAGGGCAGCGAGTGCGAAAAGGGAGGGTGTTTTGTGGGTTTTGTTTGTTTGTTTGTTTTGCGGGGGAGTTTTTTTGTTTGTTTGGGGTTGATGGGGTTTTTTTTGGTTTTTTGGGTTTTTCTTCCGGAGGAAGGGTGGTATTTAACATATGGCACTCGGTAATCTCTACACGGAGGCTGTTAAAACATCTGCTGCCTCCCAAACGCGTGCGGCAGCGCCCGTGGGCACGGGGACAAGGCGAAGGGGCATCTCGGGCACAGCCGCGCTTCCCAGGGCCGGTGTTTCCCAGCTGGAAACGGGCACCGCGCCTATTAAAGTCGTCGCACCGGGGGAAAGAGTTCGGGGTTTGTTTTTTCCTTTTCTTTTTTCGCCTTTTTTTTTTTTTTTTGCACGACGTTGCTACAGATCAACGGCACCTCCTCGTGCAGAGCTGGCATGCTTCCATTTATTGATTTAGGGAGGGTGGGTTTTTTTCCCTAACGGGACACCCCCATCGCGCGCACACACAGAGCAAGGTGGCCCTTGGCTGCTCCCCCGGCTGCCGCCCCATCGCGGGGTGCGGGGGGCTCCCCCGCATCCCTTCCCCGCCGTGCCCCAGACATCACCCCACTTCGGAAAGTCGGTGCCGGACAATTAGGACACCCGTTATCCTCCCCCCCTGCCCCGAAACCCACATAAATCACAATCGCTGCATTGTCGGGCTACAAAGCCAGACGGGAGCGCTTATGAATTTAAGTTTGGAGAAGGAAAACGTGCGCTGACACAACACGCTCCCTGTTCACAGGAGTAGCCAGGAAGGGGAAATGAATGGTGGAAGTTAAAGAGCCTTTCATTGCGGAGCGCGGCGGGTCCCCGCTCACCGCCCTCGACGGACGGCAGGGGGGTGCCCCCTCCGCGCTCCCTTCCTTCGCCCTCCCGAAAACGGGAGCCTTGCCAGGCAAAGCTCAGCCCGATTCCGCCCCCGGTAAGCCCGCGGCTCGGGGGGGTGCGGCTGCGAGGGGCCACACACGGTGCCCGGCGGCTCCCGGCGTTTCGCGGACGGGACGAGGGGGCGGCGGGGATGACTTTGCGGGAAGATGCTGCTACTCGGCCCGTCCCGGCTTTATCGGAGGTTGGGGGCGGCGGGAGGAGGGCGGACCACACTCCTGCTGGGCTTTTTTGGTGGTCAAGTAGCCCTTCGCTCCGACGGGCGTCCCAGCCGGTTTTTGCCAAGGAAGCCTCGCCGCTTGACTCCGACGGGAGTCGGCGAAGCCGGTCCCACCCCTCCCATCCTCTTGGATGCGGAGGACCGAGGGCTGGCGTGGGAGGGGGCAAGTGTGCCCACTCGCGGGCATCCACGGCCGCTCACCCCGTTTGCCCTCGGTGCAGCTGCCGGGACCGGGCGGTGCATTCAGGTGAGGGAACTCCCCTAGCCCCCATCCCTCCGGATGCTTGCTCTCGACGCCGGGGCATCAAGCGTCCTTAAAATATAATCTGCCCGGTAACAATCAGCGCGCAGCGGCGAGAGCCCCAGAGCCATTGGCTATGCAAATAGCGGGAGGGGAAGCGGCGCCCCAAACTCCCCCCGCTCGCACTTTTAAGGCGGTATTTCGGTGCCTGCCGCTCCCCCCCCCCCCCCCCCCCCGCCCCCCCTCCGTGCCGCCCAGGGGCGGGGGGCCGCGGGGCGGCCGCTGCGGGCACCCAGTGCCCCGCATGCCCCGGCAAGCGCTTTTTCCCCTTCGGGAGCCTCCGCTCTGCTGCAGCCGCCGGAGACTCCGCGGAGCTGACACATTTTGCAGCTCCGACCAAGTGCGAGCAGGGTGGAAGTCACCCGGTGCGGGACATAACCCCTCTCACCTCCCCCTCTGCTCCCCCAGCCAACCTTTCTCCCCTCCTTCCTCTCTCCCTCCCTCCGCCGCTGGGTTTCCTAGAAAGTTATATCAGTGTGGCCATGCAGCGCTAAGACGGTTCGCGTGCTCGAAACACGTCTATGTGCCGCAGGAAGTAGCGTGGTGGTTGTTAGATTTCGCCCCAAAAGGCGCCGCGGAACCCCCACTCCTCGAGGAATGGGTTTTTTGGGGGGGTTCTGCCCCTCTCCGGTTGCAGATTAAGGAGGTGCCGAAGCGGGGAGGGCGAGACGTGCATTTGGCACCCTGCTATTGTCAGGACGTTTCAATACTTCGCCCCCAGCGTCCCGTTGGGTACCGAGGGGAGCCCATAATTCCTCGCAATGAGAGGGAAATAGATTGGGACGGGGTCCCGCAGAAGGAAAAGTGTGGAGCGCAATTAATTTGGTTGCTGGAAGGAAGAAAAAGAGAAGCTGTCATTCGTGTGTGTGTGTGTGTGTCCCTATACGAGGGCCTCCTGGTTCCTTGTTAGCTTATAGAGAGGGGAAAAAAAAAAAAGCGTTTGATGTTACGTCTGACCAGCTGCTGTTCTCCAGAATAACAAGAGAGAGAGAGAACTGCCTGCCCTGGCGAGTTGCGTCACTTCGCTTCAACTTTAGGCTAGAAATCAAGAGAGAGGGAGAGACAAGTTTCAAGTGAGGCAGGAGCGAGCTGGAAAGCCCTGTCTCCTCCCACCCACCTACCCTGTCTTCCTCCCACCCACCTACCCCTCCTCCTTTACCCCTCTCCTTTCCCCACCCCTTCCCCCCCCCCCCAAAAAAAAAAAAAAAAAAAGAAAAAAAAGGAAAAAAAAAAGAAAAAAAAAACCTTTCCCATCAGAGAAAGAGGGAGATCTCTTTGGAAACATGGAGCTGCTGTGCTGCGAGGTGGATCCCATGAGGAGAGCTCTGCCCGACCCGAACTTGCTGTACGATGACCGCGTTTTGCACAACTTACTAACCATAGAGGAGAGGTATCTGCCCCAGTGCTCCTACTTCAAGTGCGTCCAGAAGGACATCCAGCCCTTCATGAGGAGGATGGTGGCCACTTGGATGCTGGAGGTTTGTACACCCCGGGAGCGGGAGGGAGGCAGAGCGGCCCCGTCCCCTCTCCCCCTGCAGCCCCCTCGCCCCTCCGCTCGCCGTGGGGTTCCTTCTTGTTCCTTCTCCCCCGCTTCCTGAGCTCCCCCGGTACGGGAAGGGGCGCGGGGGCACCAGCAGCCCGCGGGGGAAGTCGCCCCTTCCGGGGGGCTCCGTGGAGCGGGTGCAGGAGAGGGGAGGAAACGCGGCGTGCTGGGGATGGGGGGGGTGGTGGTAGTGGGTGAGTTGGAAAAGTCATTTGCAGTTAAAAAGCAAAGCCGCCTCCGGGAGCGCTTGAGTTCGAGGCATTCCTGGGAAAAGCGAGTTGCGCCCGGGGCAGGGCGAGGGTCGGGGGGTCCCCCCGCGTTTTGCCCGGCGAGGGTTCCATGCCCACGTATGCACTGGGTAGGACGTGCCTGTTCCTCGCCATGTTGCGCTGCATGCGGGCTCTGCTCGCCGGCGCCGAGCCCGGCTTCCCCCCTTTTCCTTTTCCAGGAGGTCGGGAATGCCCCCCCGGCCCCGCGGAGCAGGACCCCCGGGCAGTCGGGGTCCCGTCGGGCGGGCGCCGAGCCCCCCGTTCGCCCCGATGCTCCGGGCGGTGCTGCCGCGGGCCCAGAGCCCCGCAGCCCGGCCACCTATCCTTTGCCCCTTCGCATCTCCTTCGGGGGGCACCTTTCCCTGTCCAGACCCCCCGGGTCGTAAAGACCAGACTCCCCGCTTGGTTTTCGTGTGAGATTTGTAGTTTTTCTCCGCGGCGCCGATTTTTGGTGAATTTTTGAAAGAATTTCGCCCCTCGCTCCCTGTGCTAAAAGGATCCAGTCGGCTCGGGCTCTCCCCACCCCACCTCGCCCTCGCTGCGTCTCTCCCGTCCTTTCCCCCCCACCGCGGGATCGGGGGCGCAGGGCTGGCGGACACCCCGCGGGGAAATTTTTGCAATTGTCGGAAACGATAGGGGAACGTTCCGGGATGCCGCCGGCCCCAAAACCGGGACCCCTGGGGATGTTTTGATATTTTTTATCGATTTTTTGAAAATATGACGAAATAAAAAAAGGAAAAAATTGGGTCGCAAAAAAAAAAAAAAAAGTCGGAGGCTGCTCGCTTGCTGCTGGATGGGGCTTTTCGGCTCTCCCACACAGTGTCTTGAATTCATTTCTTACTGAATGAACTAAAGGAATGTGAAAGCCGATTGACAGCCTTCCCAGCCTCTCCGGAGATCTCCCCCTCCCCCAAAATTTAGCTCCCCGGGAAACAAAAATAGCAGGAGCCAAAGCAAGGGAGGCAGTGGGTTTGTTTCGTGGGTTCATTCATTTATTTATTTTTTCCTCCTTGTCTCTTTCTCTCTTCCCATCCCTTCTATGTGTCCCCCCCCACACCCCATCCATCCCTCCCCACGCTCCTCGCCTGCAGGTCTGTGAAGAGCAGAAGTGCGAAGAAGAAGTTTTCCCTCTGGCCATGAATTACTTGGACAGATTCTTAGCTGTGGTGCCCACTCGGAAGTGCCATCTGCAGCTGCTGGGGGCAGTGTGCATGTTCCTGGCCTCCAAGCTGAAAGAGACAATCCCCCTCACAGCCGAGAAGCTGTGCATATACACGGACAATTCCATCAAACCCCAAGAGCTGCTGGTAAGCAGCCCCCTTATCCCCTCCTCTTTGGCAGTGCCGGCATCGCTTCCCTGCCCTTTGCTGGCACCCATCACTGTGCCACCCATCCCCTCCCCTTTTTTTCTTTTTTAAAAAACCCCCACACACTTTCCCCAGGTTTCCGAATGGCCAGAAAGCACTACAACACTCGGGGCATCAACCAGAGCGGCAGGGGGACACACACACGGGGACATCCCTGTCCTCTGAAGCCGCCCGGCCGTGCCATGCGGCGCTCAGACCTACTTTCCCGCCTCATGCGGGGAAACCCTGGGGTTGCCAGGGTTGCCGTGGGGTGCTGTGGTTGCCGGGAGGCTGTGTCCGTGTCCCGCTGTCCGTGTGTCCCGGGGGTGTCCGTGTGTCCCGGGGGTGTCCCGGGGGTGTCCCGCTGTCCCGCGGGGACACCTCGCCGGGCGCACGTGCGCGGGGCGGGCGGCGCGGCGGCGCCACCTGGCGGCAGCAACGCGGCCGTGCCGGGAGCGGGCGGGGGCGGCTCCCTGAGGAATTCGGGGGGATCCGCCTCGGTGGGGACGTGGGAAGGGGTGGCTCCGGTGCCCCTCGCGGTGGGTGTTGCCCGCGGGCTATCGCCGAGGCCGGTGATGTGTGTGTGTGTATAAATGTCATCCTCAGAGAGGGTGGACCGGCCTCTGCTCGGGGGTGCCCAGCGATGGGACAAGAGGCCACGGGCAGGAACTGATGCCCGGGAAGTTACACCTGAACATGAGCAAGAACTTCTTTTCTGTCCAGTGACCAAGCACTGGAACAGATTGCCCAGAGAGGGTGTAGAATCTCCCTCACTGGGGATATTCCAGAACCCTCTGGAGGCAATCCTGTGCCATGTGTTCTGGGATGGCCCTGCTGGAGCAGGGAGGTGGGACCAGATGCCCCACTGTGGTCCCTCCCAGCTTGACCCATCCTGTGTTGGTTAAACCACCCTGTGCCTGATAATTCTCCATGGAGGGCTCAGCCTAGACACAGAGAAAGCAGAAACAAACTGAAAATTATTGAAGGGAATAGCTAATAGTTGTTGAAGGGGATAACTAACATTTACCTGGTGGTGCGGGGCGCTGGGCATGCACAAGAGCCCCTTGGTGACACGAATGCTCTGTCATAGAGATGCAAGTGGCCATCCATCCGAATCCCAGGAGAATTTCTCCTATGAATCACTGAGAATTTAAAGAGATTCACATGGCCATCTGAATCCCAGGAGAATTTCTCCTCTGAATCACTGGGAATTCCCCTTGGGGAGGGGCTGGGAGCTCATGCTTCCTCAGAGTAAAGAGGCTTGCCCTGCAAAGGCTGCAAACTCATGGACATGCGTTGTCCCCTTGGTAGTATGGACTGGCAGAGGAGGTGCTGTGGTGCCCATAGGAGAAGATACAGAATGATGTCCCTACTTTTTTTGTAGGATTGTAGCCACGTGGATTTAGGCATGTGTTTTAATTGCTTCCCTGTATTCAGTCCTCTGGATTTACTGTTCCATGTCACAACAGAAATATTGGGAAGAGCAGTCTTTAATTTACATAATTGCCATTATGTTCAAACACTTTACAGGTTTTCTTGAGAAAGGAAAAAAAATCCCCACCTGGTTTTTGTGGCCTTTTGCATATATGTGGATGTGAGACTTTTCAGGCTGTGGAGGGCTCTGTCATAATCCAGTAGGAATGTCCGTAGGGAGGTTAAAGTGGGCATCTGTTCAGGGGAATGGCTGCAGAAATGGCATTGTGGGGTCCGTGTTTATGGTTTCTCAGTAACGCTGGTTGATGTCTCCTCGGCTGCAAAATTAAAGGACTGCTTTTCAACTTACCAGCTCCACAAGCTCAGCTGGGGCTCCCCCGCCACACCTGGCTCCATCAGGATCACGCATCCTCGGGACACAGGAATCAGTGTGTGGAATTTAGTGAACACCAAATAGCTGGTGGATGAGACAGCAAGCGAGTTGGAGACCTGAGCTTTGATCACTCTGTGGGGCACTGAAAGGTGTTCAAAACTTAGTTTTAGTTTAGGTCTAGCCCTGCTTGAACCCTGTGGCTGGATCTGGTGATCGGGCACCATTTCCACATGGAATCCCATTGCGGGGAATGGCCAGTAGTTACATACACGCCCAAGTTTTCCTTCGATTTTGCTGGGAGTTTTGGGTGTGCGAAGTATGTGGGAATGGATCCTGCATGATTTACTGGCAGATAATTTACCCAGTCTACTTCTTGGCTGTGTTGTGTGCATTTCCTTCCTGGAAAGCCTGTCTTGAAGTAGTTTAAGCACCATCAGATTTATCTGCAGGACATTTTGAATACAGTTTTGGGAGGGAATGCCGTCAAGCTAACTTCCCAGTTTTGAAAAAAAGGAATGTATATCTAGGTTATTTTTGTGCATGGCTATCCCTAGGGCTTTAAATGGCTATAGAGAAAGGACTATAGCCATTTAAAAGAAGTTACTAGGAAAGGACCACAGTGACCTTGGCAATATCTAATTGCAGGCTAAACTTTCTGGGTGGGCATTCAGCACTGGATGCAAAAAGAAAAAAAGTAAAACCTTGGCAGGAGCTGCCAGGTCTCATTATTTTCAGTAGAGCTTGACATTTCTGGTGTTTAAAGAAAAAAAAGAATATAAAGTCAACAACTTCAAAGCAGTAGAGGCATATGGAAAAAAAGGTTTGAGCAAAACCAATTTAGCAGCGATTAAGTTATAATCAGGGAAATAAGTGAAGTAGGGTTGGTTTATTTTTTCAGTTTTGCTTATGGCTTTTCTTCTCTTCCCATCCTCCTGCTGCAGGAATGGGAGCTGGTGGTGCTAGGGAAGTTGAAGTGGAACCTTGCAGCCGTCACCCCTCACGATTTCATCGAACACATCCTAAGGAAGGTGCCTCTCCCTAAAGACAAGTTGCTTTTGATCCGGAAGCATGCGCAGACCTTCATTGCCCTTTGTGCAACAGGTAGGGCTGAGGGGCTCTGGGTGATTGCTGTGAAGTTGAAAGGGCAGATTTGTTACTGGTGGTACATCATCCCCTCCATCCGTACACGATGTAGGAGCAGCTTCTGAATCCCATGGGACTGTTGTGAATCAGGCCCCCATTTACGGTGTAAAACCAGAATTCCTGCAGTGGGGAGCTGTGGTGCAGTTGCAGTCCTGCTCCTACAGTGCTTGTGCAGTGAAGTCTGTAAGGCTGGGTTAGACCATACTGTTCTCTACTTTGCCCATTCACTGATTTTTTTAAAGATTGTAAGGACAGATGTGGGACAGCCAAAATACTGGAAGTTGTTATAGTACATTAGCCCAAAATATATTGGGCTAATGCATTGCATGAATGTGTTCTTAAATTTTTCACTAACTGAACTCTGTCCAGATAAAAGGTAAAAATGATATCTTAACATGTGTGACACTACCACATCCCTGAAACACAGGGAATGACAATTCAGAACGTAATGACTTTTTTTAAAAAAAAATATTTGGATTCTTTTTCTAACTTCACTCCCAAGAAAGCAGCGAAACAAATGTGTTTCATAAGGAACATTACCCTACCTTTGTGTCATATGGCTGAATACGGTTTCTGAAGGTTTAAATGAGGATAATTGCTTCTGTGGAAAGGAGGCTTTTTAATTTATACCTGTATGCACGTTGTTTTTTTTTTGTTGGTGGGCTTTTTTTCTCTCAGTGAATTTTAGAAAATAAGTGTACTCTTAATTTTCATCCAAAGGGTTAATGGTAAGACCATTTTTTGGAAGCCAGACCTGGAACAGATAGACAGCATGCAGTATTTTTCAGAGTTATTATCAAGTAGTGTATGGCTCAGTGTTTGAATTCAGTAGTTTGACATACCTAGTCCTTTGTGATAGTAACTGTTCTGCTTGTGTGTTTGCAGAGAGGAAAGGAAGACTGGGTGCGGCTTTTGGGTTTGAATGTCTGCTGCTGCTTCTTGGTAGTGACTGCTTTTAAAATGTAGGCCAGTTTTTCCTACCCCTGTTGGTCAGTTTTAGAGAATTGTATATGGGTTGTCTTAGGGTAATTGATTTTCTGGTTACCATGATGCTCAAGCTTTCCCTCCTTTTCCCTCTGCTCCATGATCCTTTTCACACAAAAGCCCACAGGGCTCGATAGAAATATTGCTCAAATTCTGCAGGATCACTCTTGGTAATTTATCAGCCATTTCAGACTAATCAGCTTTATACTTTAGCATTAATATGTTCGATCAGCTTTGCCTTCTTTCTTTGCCTCCTCCCCTTACTCATAATTCATTCACACTGCCTTTCCCATGGATATTTCTCTGGATCCTCACAACACCATCAGCCATCAACCTCCAACACATGTGCGTGTGGTCTTCCAAACTAGACCAATCTTCCCTCTCCTTTGTTGCTTTTACTTCCTACAATAGTGTTTTGGTTTGTTTTTTTTTTATCCAAGAGGACATTTTCTTGAGTGTCTTAGAATTTCATTATGCTTTAACTTTTCAAATTCTGGTCTGTAATCCTTTGCCCATGAAGTTTTCCATAAAACCAAACCATTGCAAGACTGGGGGCCATGAAAGAGTCTCCAAAGTCTAGGTTTTCTTTCCACTCCGTGAATTCTCTGATAGTTAGCTCCATGCTTTAGTAGTCCTTTCACTGAGATCCAAATTTTCCATCCCTTAAGCCTAGTCATGCAGTTGTCTCATGTGTTTCCCCCATGTGATCTGCCTCTCATGTTATATGTCTCCAATGCACGAACTGAAGTCCTTTATGTAGAGTTTAAAGAGGCAGCAAATCGAGATTACAAATGAAAGATATAATTCTGTGTACAGAGCTTCCCAAAAGTCAGGGCACTGTGGTGCTGGCTGTAGGTTTTCTTTTCTTCTCATCCCATTTTCCACAGACCACTGTGTTGGCATTTAGTTTTGAGGAGGACCCCCAACCCTTTGCCATTTTGAAAGCAGAGGTCTTACCCAAGCCCTCGCTCCCACATTCTCAGTTTACCAGCAAACTCCTACTCCCATTTCCATTGTAGAAATGTTGTTACTAATGTATTTCCCTTTCACTGCCACTCTTTTGAAGAAAAGCCCTTTCTCATCAGACTTCCTTCCAGATCCAGTTGTCATTTCCTTTTCTTGTCCTGTTTGTTGCAGAGCTCTCACCAGCTGTTCTGTTTGTTCTTTCTCTTTCTCCCTCAAAGCTGCTGCTCTCCACCAGCTTGAGTTAAGCCTGGTTTTTCATTTCCCCATTTGCGTTCTGTCAGCAATATGACCTCCTTTAACATGTGGCTGGCTCTTCCCTTGCTCCCTCCATGTGTGGTTGACTCTTTACTGTTCCCAGACGTGACCTTGCTGCCTGGCTCACAGCTCTGATCTGGAGCACAGCAGTGAATCCTGATTCATCCCAACACAGCTTTCTCTGCTGTCAAGTACTTTTTCTTTAGTGTATCGTGCAAAATCTGGCATATTTTGAACTTTATTCCTCTAGCCTGAATTCTTCTTCACTGCCTGCTCCATTTTAATCTCCCAGCAAAAACATTATACCCGAAATTCCCAAGTGTTCCCTGCCTGTACAGAGCCGGCTGTGATCTCAGTCCTGCAACACTTTGTGTCAGCAAACAGAGAGGGAAGCAACCATGAACAGTTACTGGGTGTTCTGCTGGATGTGTAGGATCGCTTTGATACTCATCTCTATTCTCCTTTCCCTTTGAACCTCCCTCAAAAGGAGATGATAACTCAGTTCTTCTGTGTATTCCTTTCAGTCATGTTTGATCATTTTGGCACTCTTTCCCTTTCTCTGCCTTTATTTTGAACCCAGTTTGTGAAACAAGCTGCCTGGATATAAACCCACAGCCTCTCCCCAGTCCTTGCAATGATTAATGATTCACATGAGCATGACTGAAACTGGAATGTATCCCTCTTTGCCCTTGGTCCCATCTGAACACATGGCTGCTGAGCAAGACAGAAGCTTGTTCCCTGAATAAAAAGTTTTCTCTTTCTGCTGCCCTGCACTTGCAATGGTCTCCATGAGAAGGGGGTGTAAGCAGCATCCACCCCCAGCCCAGGTGGTGCTGCCAGCACCATGGCTGTGCAAACAGGGAGCTGCCATTGGGAGGGAGCTGATCTATTGGCTGGGAATTGCCTGTGTATAAGAACAGCTTTCTTCCAGCTACCTTGCTCACTGCACAGTGAGACTGTGTAGATTGACATTATGTCAGGCATAGCCTGGTCTGTCACCGTGTCATTTGTTTTCTCCTCCCACTGGTGGCTCCCTGTGCAAGGTAAAAATCTCCCTCAGGAGGCTTCTGAAATTTAAAGGCATTAAGAGGGTGCATTTGGAGCCTTTGTCCTTACAATATGGCTTGGCAAAAGTGATGCCTACTGCTTCTTTCTTACAAGGAGAGACTGCAGGAGCTGAGCCTGTTTAGTTTAGACAAGAGAAGACTGGGAGGGGATCTCATCAATCCATAGAATTTTATATCTGAAAGGTGGATGCCAAGAGGATGGTGTCAGACTCTCTTCAGTAGTTCCCAGTGACAAGACGAGCAATGGCCATGAACTAAAACACAGCAAGTTCCACCTCAGCATGAGGAAGAACTTCTTTACACTGAGAGTGGCAGAGCACTGGAACAGCTCCCCAGGGAGGTAATGGAGTCTTTCTCTTTGGAGACATTCCAACCCCACCTGGACACATTCCTGTGTCACCTGCTCCAGGTGACCCTGCCTTGACAGGGGGTTGGACTGGATGATCTCCAGAGGTCCATTCTGACCCTAACAATTCTGTGATTCTGTGATTCTTCAGGATGGGAGGATCCTGTTTAAGCCCAATGGAGATGTCCTTCTTTTGCTCACTGGGATCATGTTGCTTTTTCACTTTGCCCACACCTCCATCTGTCCATTGCTTGCACCCTTCATTCCCCATCTGGCTCTTTGCACAGCACTCCACAGTTTAGAAATGTTTTCTCAGGGGTTGACTGTGTGCCTGTTCCATGCTCCAGGCCAGGGAGTCACTCCTGGAGGAGCGGGAGAGGGCAGTGGTTTACAGGGGGGTGTGTGGAACATGCCACGCTGCTGCTGGAAAGAGAACCATGCATTGTTTCCTTGATTTCAGAGTGCCCTTCATTTCTTCTTCTCTCATCCTGTTCAGAGTCACAGATGCACAGCTGCTTCCTGGTGTTCCACTCTCTTCTTGGGGGCTGCACATGCCACTGGTTTGGTGCAGTGTACCCCTTTCTGTGTGAGAGCCTGGAAGGGGCTGATGTGTTTTGGGGAAGGACAGCCTGTGCACGTCAGACTTTCAAGAAGAAAAACTGCCTGTTTCTGAACACGACCTGTAATGGAGAGACTCATCTCAGTGAGGAGCTTTGCAGGGTTTTAGTTGAGTGGAGTGCAAAACTTGGAAGGAAAAATCTTTGCAGGCTTGCAGGGACAGAAGGCAACTTGTGTAAAACTCTGGACTCAGCCCTTTGCATGGTCTGTTCTCTGAATCCTACAGCAAGTAGGATGTTCCCATCATGGCTACAGTGCAGCACCTCAGACCAGTGGCTTTCAGAGCCTCTGTCAGTGAAGGGACTAAGAAAGAGTAGGAAAATTTCAGCTTTAAGTCAGTTTTGTACAGTGTGCCAAACCTCTGCCCACTGTCTCTGGGACATTAATCATCTGCACTTGAAAGCTGAGAAGCCTTTTCTTTAACTTCTGGGCCAAATGCTGTGTCCTTCACAGAAGTTCTGTGAAAGTCAGTGGGAGTGTTGTCTGAGCAAAGACTGCAAGATGAGGCCCACAACCCCAGCAGTGATCTGGAGTGTAACCACACAGAATGCTTTGTAACACAAAGAGGCATGTTTGGTCCTCAGGACTCCTGCTGGGCAAGCCTTCTGTGCATCACCTTCTCATCCAGTGTAAGCTACCAGGCTCTGTCCCTGAAAGTGTGACACAAGTTTTATTTGGGACATGTTCTTTGCAGAGGGAAAGAAAGAAGTCTGCAGAGGCTT